TGGCTATTGCCCAAATAGGACATTCATCACTTGCCTCAGTGCCTTTGTACAGGATGTCCCTGACATCTGGCATGCTTTGCCTCCTCATTCCTCCCCTCTTGGAATTCATAGCTTCCTTTAAGGTCAGTTCAAGTACCATCTCCTACATGACGTCTTTCCCAATTCCCTCAACTATAGTGCCCTAGTCTCAATGACCATGTATTTATTTTGCATATATCCAGAATTTACTTATCTGAGAACATGCTGTCTTCCTCAGTAGGGGAAGGTAAGGACTGTCTCACCATTTTATCCTACCACAGTGCTTGGAACACAGAGACTTAGCCTGTGATTTCATTGGTGGAGTTGGGAATTGCCAGATAAGGAAACTCACTCTACTCTTTCAGGTGGGCACCTTCTCCGCATCTCATAGTCTTAGACAGTCAATGTCCTAGTAAGTCATTTGCTCAGGGCCACAGCCTGGGTGACCCAGGGTTACACAGCCAATATATGCCAGAGGCAGGACTTTGTTGTTTTGAGGCCAGTTCCTTATCCACTAAGCTTGATGCTTACTTAATACATGCTTGCTGATTGATAATAATCAAGAGCTAGTTTGAGGACAAAGACATACAACCAGCATTCCAATACTCCCCAGGAGAATCAGCTGCTGTCCCTGAGTACATTCTGTTCCTTTGGCATCTCTCTCTCTCTGTGGTCCTCTTATGTGTTTTCCAGTTTTGGCTTCTGGTCATGTCATGATTCTGGAAATGCAGAGTCATGCTCTCTGCTGGTAACCTGGCCCCAGGTCCTGCCCTTGTCTATCTGCACCATTGCCCTGCATTCCTGACCTACCTCGATTTGTTACCTCGCCTAACCCCCACTCGAAACAAAATCATTCAGGCTACAAAGAAGCTGACACCACAGCCAGCCCCGTTTAGGTCAGAGATTAAACAACATTCTTTTGGAAGCGTCTCCTCCCCAGAAGCCAGGACCCTCCACTGCATCAGCTTGCCAAGTCAGCTCCCACTCGCTCTGGAAATATAAACAACTGAAAAATTCCAAAGTGGAGGCTCTGGCAGAAAGCTGCTGATAACAAGACGCTGCTGCTTCTGAGCCCTCTATTGTAGGCCAGTGGCCAACAAGGCCTCATTTGGTCCATGCTTACCAAACACATTCCCTCCAGCTGTCAAAAGTGACCCTTATTAGCTACGTTTGGGGATGGCTTTGGGCTGATCTACTGGGCAACGAGGAAAGAGCAATGTCAGTGGACATGGAGCTGATTTGATCTTCTTAATTAAAATGGATAATTCAGGCTGATATCCTACCCCAACTGGCCTGCCACTCACTAATCTCCTTTTCTACTTGGTTCAAATGAATTACACAATTAACTCATCTCTACTTCAACTAGTATAACCCAGACATAGCCTCAATTTCCAGAATCTCTAAGATGGACAGGGAGGTTGGGGGTGTTTTTATGGAGAATAGGGTGGTTGGGGAGAAGGCCTGAACTTTTTATTTCATTCATGTAGGGAACTCCAAATATGGAAACTCTATTAATGTAACTATAATTTTCATTTTTTAAAGAGTTGTCCAAAGCACTGAGAAATTTAATAATTTACCAGTCATACAACTAGTAGGTGTCAGGGACAGGAGTTGAACTTCATCAATCCAAGATCACTCCCCTATCCTCTTTTTTTTTTTTAATATGATAAAACTTTGTTTTCAAATGTAAACAACATTCTTAGCTCATAGGCCGTACAAAAACAGGCGAGCCACATCTGGCCTGCAGGCCATAGTTGCTAACCCCTGACAGACTATTAAAATATAGTTTATCCTTTGAGACTAAACATTTCCATAGGGTATAAAAAATTCAATGTATTTCATAAACTAGGTATTAACACTACCAGACATATGCATAGCAAAATAATAACAATAATAATAAATTAAATTAAACTGAACTATAGCAATTTAAATTAAAAGATCAATAAAAGATGCCAAAATACCATGCTATGCTACGCCATGCTACAATGCCTCCTGGGTTTGGACTACACGTTCCTTAAAGGTCTTCTCTGGACTGCCAGATTGAATGGCATCCCTCCAATATCTCCCTTTCCGTTCCTTCATTAAGCGCCTCCTTCTCAGGAAAAGTCATCACAATTCATTAGAGTATACATTATATAAGGGCAGGAGTCGGATTTTCTTGATCTCTGTATTCACTGTAGTACCTAACACAAGGTATTGCTCAAAATAGGCGTGCAATTAGTGTTAGAGGGGAAAGTGAGGAGTAATAGGGAAGAGGGAAGAAAGAAAAAATGGAATTTCACATGAAATATTAAGTATGGCCCAGAGGAAAGGGCACTGGATTTGGAGTCAGAGAGCCTGAGTTTGACTCCTGTCTCGGTCACAAGGACCCTGTGACTTTGAACAAGTCAATTCCCTTCTCTGAGCCTCAGTTTCTTCATCTGTAAAATGAAGAGGTTGGGACAGATGACCTCTAAGGCCCTTCTAGTTCAAAATCTATGATTCTAGGACCCTGCTGCTCCTTAGCATCACAATCCTAGGGGTGTCGTCAGCTTCTCTTCTGAGTTCACGCCACATATCCGATCTGTTGCTGTTGTTCAGTCTTGTCATGCCCCCATTTGGGGTTTTCTTGGCAGAGGTACTGGAGTGGTTTGCCATTTCCTTCTCCAACTCATTTTTACAGATGAGGAAACTGAGGTAAACAGTATTACCCCTCACTTTCCCCTCTAACACTTATTGCATGCCTGCTTTGAGCAATACCTTGTGTTAGACACTATACTGAACGCAGAAATTAAGAAAATCTGACTCCTGCCCTCATATAATATGCAATCTAATGGATTGTAAGTGACTTGCCCAAGGTCACACAGCTAGTATGTGTTTGAGGCTGGATTTGAACTCAGGAAGATGAGTCTTCCTGACTCCAGGCCCAGCACTCTATCCATTGCACCACCAACTGCCCCGATCTATTGCTAATTCTTGTTATTTCTACCTTTATAGCACTTTGCAACACATACGTGGCCCCTTTTCTCCAAGCATATAAGCATACAACACTGCTAACACCTTCATTCACTAAGAGCTAAACTAATGGAATAGGCTTGGTTGGTTTCCCCAACCCTGTTGTCTCTGCATTCCTATCAAGCCTCCACTCAGCTGCCAAAGTGATTTTCCTACCTCACATAGCAACTCTCCCAACCCACTCAACTCAATCCATAGCCTCTAGAATCAAATATAAATCAAATAGAATCAAATATAAAACCCTCTATTGGCCATTTAAAGGGCTTCACCACCTGGCCCTGTCCTCCATTTCCAGTTTCATACTTTATTCCCTTCTAAGTATTTTACAATTCAGAAACAGTGACCTTCCTGCCATTCTTCGCACTCCATGTCCCAACATCCATTCCTTTTCTTTGACCATCCCCAATGCCTGGATTGCCCTCCTTCCTGACCTCTACCTCTTGTCTTCCACAGCTTCCATCAAGACCCAGCTCAAATCCCATCTTCTGCAGGAACCCTTTCCTGGTCTCACCCCACCCCAGCTCCTTCCCTCTCAGATTACATTCCATCTATTCCGTACATATATTATATGTGCTTAGTTGTTTGCACAGCACCTACTAGGTGCACATAGTGGGTGCCTAATAAAGGCTTACTGACTTGACTTACACGTTGACTCATTATAATGTGAGCACCTTGAGAATAAGTAATGTGTCTTTGACTTTCATCGTATCCCCAGTGCTTAACACACAGTAAGTGCTTAATAAATGAGTGTTGACTGACTGGTTAAAAGCAACCATTTATTGACCTAAGAAGAGTATAATCATTTAGTGACCTGGGAAGAGTATCCCAAAGTTCTTATAAAACCTCTCTCCGGCCCTCTCTGCCTCTCTCCATGTCTCTGTCGTTATCTCTCTTTCTCCGTGTGTGTGTGTGTGTGCGCGCGCGAGCGTGTTTCTCTCTGTCTCTATCTCTTTCTCTTTGTCTCTATCTTTGTGTCTCTCTGTCTCTTTAAAGAAGCTCAAGGATAAAGAAAAAGTCCCCTTTGGATGCTCAGACCATGGAGATTTTGTAAGCTGCTAGAAGAGACCCTTCCACACTGTGTGGACAGTTCATAGCCATTGCGTTTAATCCCCTTAGGGTAAGGAACTGATAGGAATACCACAGGTTTCAGGATATTTCCTGGGTGCTCAGCAAATACTTCCTCACTGACCTGTCCTCATTTACTACCAACCTGACCCTAGGAATGACTAATCCAATGATCAAACTATATGCTGGCTTAAGAAAGCAGGATTCCTAGGTCCCTTTTACCATTCAGTCACTCGGTAAGACTCAAGCCAGTCACACAAGCCAGGCAGATCTCTCTGCCTCCTTTCCCACCCACTCAAGGTCTGCTAAAAATCTGCCTTGTGATGGTTGGAATCCATTAAGAGCTTGTGGCTCTGATGACTTCTTACTCTATGAGTAAGAACAGTGGCTGGACCTTAGCGTAGAGGCAATGAGGGGGCCGAGTGGTTGAGAGATTCCATGAGGAAACAGGGCTATAGATCTAACCCCAGATTTGGTCCCCTTTTATTCTCTAGAGCCACCCATTTCTGGCCTTCACTGTCTTATAGTAAGAGAAAATTTGGCTCCAAAGCTGGTGATTCTTTGGGGCCCAAGGGTCTGTCTCCTGAATGTCTGGACTGTGACTGGGATGAAAAGAAGGACAAAAATCCAAAGTAGAAAAGTTTTGTTCACAAAGTTCCCACATGTTCCCTTCTTATCCCCTAGACATCATGCCACCCCCACCAACTCTCTGGCCAGTTCATAGCCTAGGAAAGCGGCTTCTTGGGAGAACAAAGAGGTTCTTACAGCATCACCCTCGCCAGTTGCTGGTTCAGCCAAATTTCAGGCTGTTTACATCCCGTAGGGTGGGTTCCCTAGAGTGTTGACAGGCCAGGCCAGTGCTAGCAGGCCCTAAATCCCAGCTCCCCATGGCAACGGCAGGGCCCCAGGGGCACCATACTCACTACACAGGAAGCAGGACTTGTGGAAGCTGTTGCCTTCACACTGAACCTCTTCAGCAAAGTAAACCGTCTTTTGGCACACGCCACATTTCTTGCCTCCTCCCCAGTTCGGCATCCTGAGAGAGAAACACAGAAACAGGCATGAGAAAAACTATGCAGACACAGAGAAAAGACTGAAGGCCAAGAAACAATGAGACAGCTACCAAGGCAGAACTAGACCTTGCTTTGAGAACTGCATGCTTCAAGATGGCAGCCATCCATGGACAGGCATTCCCTCCCCCATCCCTGGCTTTCATTTGCTTCAGGCTTACCTTCCTTTAACCCTGCTATCCTATGTAGGTTTCTAACCAAAACAAGTCAACAAATGGTTATTCAGTCCTTACTCTGTCATAATTTTAGAGCCTAAAAAACCTTACAGATCATCTAGTTCAAGCCACTCATTTTACAAATGAGGAAACTGAGGCCCAGCAAAGTTAAATGATTTGCCATGGTCACACAAGAAGTAAATATCAGAGCCTGGACTTGAACCCAGCTTCTCTGACCCTGAATCCAGTGCTCTTTCTATCACAACCAGGCTTTCTATGTTAGATACTATGAGGGCAATTCAAAGAAGTACAATTCAGTCCCTGCCTTCCCAGGGCTTATCTTTCAGTTGAAAAGACGAAACATAAATATGTGAAAAGTCAGATGGTACCAGATGTAAATAATAGTTGAAGATGATTGTCACAAAAACTCGGTTATCCAGAAATGAGGTCCAAAATACAGCTGGCAATTCACTGCCAAGTGACTGGTATATATGGTAGACACAGTAATAGTTCAGAAGGAGAGGTCAGCAGTGTCGTGGAAAGAACTCTGGATCTGGAGCTAGAGGACCTGGGAATGAATCCTGGTCCTACTGCTTATCACTCGTGTGACCCTGGGCAAGTCATTTCTACACCCACAGCTTCCTTTTCTTTATGTAATGGGGGTGAGGCATACCAGACCATCTCTAAGGTTCTTTATAGCTTCAGATCCTACATCATCCTTTGATCACCATGGGCCAGGGTAGTTTCTTCTTCATCTCCTTTGAGAGAGAGTGTCTCTCATCTACTTAGGAAAACAAACCTTGAGAGACAGGAAATCCTTTTTTCCAAACGTCTGCACACCACATGGTGATACTTAATGCACATTCCAGATGAAAAATAGGGGTAATACCTCAGGGGATTTCCCTAGCACTACAGCCTGGGACCACAGTGGGTAATCAAAGACACTGTGGACAGACAGCCCATGGAAAATGAAGAGGCAGAAGATAAAGTAAGATTATAGTCCTCTCTCTCTCTCTCTTTCTCTCTCTCTCTCTCTCTCCCTCCCTCTCCCTCTCCCTCTCTTTTTCTCCTCTTATGTCTCTCTCTGTCCCTCTCTCTTTTTCTTTTGTTCTTTTTCCTCTCTCTTTTCTTTATCCCTCTCTTTCTCTCTCCCTTCCTCTTTCTTCCTCTCCCTCTCTTTTTCTCTGTGTCTCTCTTTCTCTCCTCTTGTGTCTCTCTCTGTCCCTCTCTTTTTGTTCTTTTTTCTCTCTCCTTTCTCTCTCTCTCTCTCCCTCTCTCTCTCTTTTTCTCTATGTCTCTCTTTCTCTCTTCCTGTGTCTCTCTCTGTCCCTCTCTTTCTTTCTTTCACTCTTTCATTCTTTTTTCTCTCCCCTGAGAGGTGAGGGGTTCTCTTTGGGCAGAATTAGGGAGAAAAGCTTCAAATAGAAGTTGGCTCCCTAAGGTTGCCTTTTTGCCACAAACACCACTCACTAGGTAGAGGACAATTTAATAGCATCAGGAAGTATCTAGAGCCAAATAAGGGAGAGATAAAATAGAAAAAAAAAGACTGTCACCCTTCTTTTTCAAGGCAGGGATAATAGAAGCATGCATCATAGGATCACAAATACTGAGTTGGAAGGGAGCTTAGAGGCCATCTATTCTAATACCTTCATTTTACAGCTGAGGCAGCTCTAGAGGGTGTAACTTGCCCAAGACCAAAGAGGAAGTAGGATCCAAACACAGATTGTGTTGGTCTGATGTTCAGTGCTCCAGATGGCATTCTCTCTTTCTGTGTCTTTTTATTTCTGTCTCTGTCTCTTTCTCTTCTCTGTCTCTCTGTTTCTGTCTGTCTCTCTGTCTCTGTCTGTTTCTCTCTCTCTTTCTCTTTGCAGAGAAGCTCAAGGATAAAGAAAATCTCCCTTTGGACACTCAGACCATGGAGATTTTGCAAGCTGCTAATCTTTCCATCAATCAACCCACATTCATGAAGCCCATACCATGGGACAGGCAGGGTACTAAGGCACTGGTGATACAAAGACAAAAATGAAAGCCCTTCTTCCCTCAAGGAGCTTACAGTCTATTATCTTTGTTGTATACTAAATGTTTCACCAACACAGGGCCCTAGTCCTGTGTTCTTTATTGGATTACCTTCATGAGCAGTCATGGCCCCCCAAAAAAATGATTGACCTTCTGATGTAGAACATCCCTGAACTTAGCTATGCTGGTCTTCAGATGACAGGCATCACCAGCTGATACTATGAATATTCCCAGCTTGATAGTACCTGACAGAGCTTTTGCTCTGCTGGCAACTTTAAAGAACTCAGGGTCAACTCAGTTCCATAGTGAAGCATCAGAATTGGACTTTAGTCAAGGTTCAATATGATGAGGATGAAGATGATGAAGATGATGGTGCAAAGCAGCCTGGTATAGTGGATAGAACAGCAGCACTGGTGTCAGGAAGACCTGAATTCACAACCTATTTCTGACCCACATTGGCTGTGTGATCCTGGACAAATCTCTCTTAATCTCTCAATATCTCTAAGGTTCTAAGTTATTGATGAATTTCTCATCTATACAAGTGATGGAAATGTCCATTCAAAGCTTTCCCCAAACCAATAAAATCACAGGAGCGGATCATTGGCATCATTATTGTTATTATTAATTAGATAAGGATTAGATCTGTTATTTCATTGGCAAAGGGAAATACAAATGAGGAAAATCTCTCAGCAATTCATAGTTTTAGAGATTAGGGCACCAAGAAGCTAATTGACTTGCCCAGGGCTAGAGAGTCAGCATGCATCACAAGCTCAGCTTCTTGACTCTCAAGCTCAATCTCTATCTGTTATGCCACACTGCCTCTCTAAAATAACTACAACAACAGTAACGATGATGATGATGATAGCAGCTGACATGTAATACTTGGTTTATAAAGCACCCTAAATATATTATTTCAGCCCAACAGAGTGCCCAAATCCTACGGCTCTGCTAAATGTTTTCCAAGCTTCAGTGGCTCTACATACCAGCTCCTCTCATTTCTACCAGGTCACACACAAAGCACCCTTGGTGAAAAGTCCTATGCTGGACCCCAAGGGAAGATGCAGGAGAAAACTCAGGGCTAGTTCTCAGTTCGATCAAGGAGACAAAACACACAGTAAGGACTTTGCTTATACATCTTTGAATCCTTCTTTCTCCCTGCCTCTCATCCTATCCACCACTCCCAATACCTAGAACCAAGCTGGGCATACACAGGCATTGGATAAATATGAATTGATTGATAGATATTTGGAGAAGTTGGAGTGAGTATGCTAGAATAATTGAAGTGAACAAACTGGAAAGACTTGTTCTTTTCTTGAAGGGATTTCAAAGGTGGTGAGGGGTTCTCTTTGGGCAGAATTAGGGAGAAAAGCTTCAAATAGAAGTTGGCTCCCTAAGGTTGCCTTCTTGCCACAAACACCACTCACTAGGTAGAGGACAATTTAATAGCATCAGGAAGTATCTAGAGCCAAATAAGGGAGAGATAAAATAGAAAAAAAAAGACTGTCACCCTTCTTTTTCAAGGCAGGGATAATAGAAGCATGCATCATAGGATCACAAATACTGAGTTGGAAGGGAGCTTAGAGGCCATCTATTCTAATACCTTCATTTTACAGCTGAGGCAGCTCTAGAGGGTGTAACTTGCCCAAGACCAAAGAGGAAGTAGGATCCAAACACAGATTGTGTTGGTCTGATGTTCAGTGCTCCAGAGCGCTTTCCCCTGTACCATACTGTCTCCAACATCTTGGAACATGTTTGGCTGCCATACACCATGTTCAAACCCCACAACCTTTGCGTCCTCAAGCCTCACTTTTCCCCAGCCTCTCTCTTATGGTAGGATGGAAAGAGCCCTGAATTTGGAATCATGGACCTGCAGTTAAAATACCAGCTCTGCCACTGACTCCCTGTGTGACCCTAAATGAGTAAGTCACTTCAGCTTTCTGGGCCTCAGTTTCCCCATTTGAGAAATGTGAGCATTTGAACTAGTTGACCTTTAAGCTCCCTGCAAGCTCCCTACGTATGTTTCTGTGATCCTGCCATCTCTAGTTATACAAGTATATAATATATAATATTTTAAATATATAAAATATAAATATAATAGTATGTAATCTACTTTCAAATAACCCAGGGAACTCTCACCTCTGCTCTTTGTCATCAATTCCTATTCCTTACTCTAATCACTAATGCCATTTCCTTCACCCCAACCCCTGGAGCATCTCTGAATCTTGATAACTTTGTCTGGTGGGATGCTGTCCTCAGAGGTGATATCTATACAGTACTTTGGAGCTCACAAAGTGCTTTCTTGTAAACAAATCTGAGAGGTTAAGTCAGAACAGCTATAATTGTCCCCATTTTACACATTGGGATCCTAAAGATCAGAGAGGTGGAGATTTGCCCACAGTCATACACCTACTACATATTGCGAGCAGGGCTTCAAATCCTGGTCTTCTGATACCTCTCTGCCTCTGAAGGGCAAGTTATGGTTCTGGAACCCAATAAGAGGTTATGCCACCCCCTCGGGAATGAATCTTGCCCTGACCCAAATGATGGAGAGTGTAAAATGGGGACAATTATAGTTGTTCTGACTTAACCTCTCAGAAATACAAAAGCTCTTTGCCATATGGGGGAGACCCACAACATGCCATTGCTGAGCTTCATAGAAGCTTGTTTCTCCTGGCTTTAAGCCATAAGCAAACTTCCAGGCAAGTTTCCAGGGAATCAGGAACAACAGAAGAAAAGACGGAAACCAAAAGACCAGTCAAAGAGAAAATCTGCCCCTAGAGATTTCTTACTGGGGT